GCCCAGGAGCTGCATTTGGCCCCTTGGGATTTTATCTGTGGCCCATGAGACATTTTGTTTACTGCTGGTCAGATACAGGGTTGCCAGATTTTGCTGGTTTCCATCCGCATGGTTTTTTCCCTACTGATACTACAAAAGTGACACGTAAGTAAAGCCCGGGCACATACCGTTTGCACACAATGCTGACTGTGGGAGCCGTGTGCTCCCAGTGCATCCCATCCCAGCGCTGCTGTGGTTCAGCCAGCACACCCCACAAATTCTAGGTACGCACGTGCCAGGGTTGCCAGATTTTGCTGGTTTCCATCCGCATGGTTTTTTCCCTACTGATACTACAAAAGTGACACGTAAGTAAAGCCCGGGCACATACCGTTTGCACACAATGCTGACTGTGGGAGCCGTGTGCTCCCAGTGCATCCCATCCCAGCGCTGCTGTGGTTCAGCCAGCACACCCCACAAATTCTAGGTACGCACGTGCAGTGAGCAAACTGCCCCATCCTGGGAGCCTGTCTTGGTTAGTATCAGAGGGGTCGCCAGGTTAGTCTGGATCTGTCCGTCGCCCCCTTATAGACTACCCGAAGTGTTGGAGCATAAGCTTTCGTGGGCAAAGACCCACTTTGTCAGAGTACATGCATCTGACGAAGTGGGTCTTTGCCCACGAAAGCTTATGCTCCAACACTTCAGTTAGTCTATAAGGTGCCACAGGACTCCTCGCCTGTCTCGGTTAGGACGATCTTGTGGCCCACTGAGACGAAGGAGAGCCACTCGTGCAGCCCACTCGCTAGCCCAGGTTGCCCATTGCTGGTCTAAAGTGACTTTAACTTCCAATCCTTCCACCTTGACTTCTGCTTTACAAACGCATGTAGGACATAGCCCTGGTGAAAGCCCGCGTCCAGCGGACGGGTCTGCGCTGCTCTGTGTCTATGGGTTGGCCGGGTCCCTAATCGAGTGCAGCGAGCTCCCGAGCCTCAGGATGGTTCTTGGGGTCATCTTCTGTGCAGCAGTCTCCCCTCCCTGAAGATCTAATTTGAAGCACGCAAGTGCCCCTGCTGGAGTCAATGGGGACCATTCACATGATGCTTCATAGGCCCCAGCTCTGCAAGGTGCCTAAGAATAAACTAAACCATTTCTCACCCCCACTCTCTGTTCTCAAGGAGGTGGCTAGGATGTGATCACACTTCATTGCAAAGCCATTTTCAGAGGCTGCAAGGAAATGCAATCCTCAGCAGGCAGGACAGTCAGTGTTCTTGGCGAGTGCGACAGCCAAAGGGCTACCGCCCTCTACCAAGCCTGAGACAACAGTGTTATCCCACCAGCTTCACTCTGCAGCAATTGCTCCTGAGCAGGTGTAGCCGTGAAAGCATATTTATGTACGTCACGCCTGCAGGGCACGGTGGACTCTGGGATGCTCTCTGATGAGTCGCAGGACTATGAGCTGGAAAAGGCCCCATCTGTCCCTCTGCACGTGCAGAATTTGTCCCTACTCGACACTTCGTGTCTGGGCTAGTTTCCAATGTCTGTGCGTGTCCCTGAGAGTCCCTCCCTCGGTACGGAGGCCCTAGTGTGGAAAGCTGTAATCTGGAATGGGAAATTGCTGCGCTAACTCAGTCAGTAATAACCATAATTAGCGACTTATGTTCCTGTGGCGCCACTTGGCCTGAGAGCCTTCCTTCTACGGCCATTGTTACAGACTCCATGGGCTGCGCGGTAGGTTTGCAGAGGGTACGTATGCAAGCAGTTGTGTGCCTCCATACACATCTCACACCCCACACGCTCGCATTCCACCCATCCCACCCCCTGTCCTCACCGTGCTGTGTGGGGTTATTTGCACCCATGCAAAGGGGCATCAAACCTATCAAATCACACTCCCTGCTTGCTTAGCTCCCACGTTGGGACAGGATCGATAGAGTTGCAAGGCCACGAAGAACCAGCACAAACTGCTGTTGCTCCATTGCAGAAATGCAGCTGTCATTGAACTAGCAGTGGGGGGTTCAGGTGGGCAGTGTATAATGCTCCACACTGGGGCTTTGCCAGATGCCCCAGAGGAAGGGAACACAAGAGGTAATCCTCACGTGACCCCTCTCTTGTCACCTACCTCCAGAGAAACAGAGGCTGGGGACACCATTCCTACCCATCCTGGCTAATAGCCATTGATGGACCTGACCTCCATGAATCTATCCAGCTCTTTTTTGGAACCCAAAAGCCAGGAGGGGGCATGTTCCTGGCTCACAGATCAGGCCTCTCTCAGGGCGACAGCAGAGAGAAGCCAGGCAGGGCCAAGAGGGAAAAAATTCAGGGCTGGGTCATTACCCACTAAAAGCAATGATGGGGAGGAGGGAGGGAGAGAGAACGGCAGAAACCCCCCTTTGTGCTCCACACATGCTGCCTGTGCCCAAGGTTGCAGGGTCTTGCACAGGGCCAGGTGAAGCAGCTGGAAAGTAATTGTGTGTTGGAATCCATTTGGGCTGCTGCCTATTCTCGTGCTCCGACAGTGAGCTGGGGAACCCAGTGCCAAACCGCGGAAGAAACACTCAAGCCAGCTCATAGGGCAGCCCCTGGGACCCAGTGAGGTGGGTTATGCTAACGAGGCGATTGAAAAGGGCCCTGTGCCATGCCAGGGATACAAGGGATTGTTCCAATGGCTTGGCTCCGTGCAGAGAGGAGCTGCCAGGACATGGATTCTCTGCTAATTAGCTGGTGGCAGCATCTCCTCTCATTCGGGGCGGGTTGAGTGTTGACAGGAGACAGCAGCGCCGGGAAATATTGTGACATGTTTACGCTGTGGATGCAGGGGACCAAAACACACAATGCAAAGAGGGAGCAGGCTAGCAATTAGCCGGGGAGACAGACACGGCTGTGTGGTGGCTGCCTCTGGCAGCTGAAGTCCCAGCTGGCAGGAGCTGCGCCAGGACGCAGCAGGACACAGGGATCACGAAGTCCAAGCCGCGTGTGGATTGGGAGGCAGCATGAGCGGTTAGTCTTGGCTTCAGACGGCAGAGGGGATGGGGCTGGCCCCTGTCACTTAGC